CGAAGTAACGCATTCAAGCCTAAGGAACGACCAAGCCACTTTTGAAACGCAAGTGTTCCTTATTCAAGCCGCTCACTGTACCGCCCTGGGTGGCCTTTGGACACGTGAAAACCGGTCCCACCTGAGGACAACCACCATGTTAGAGATCTCCCCAGGCGACCTGGGCACGTGATGACAAGCACTTCGCCTGAGACATCCTCTGAATTCTGCTTCCCAGGAAAAGAGCACTATATATATGGGACAAAATCACACGAAAGAAAGACCCCATTCAGTGGATGGTTTGATACTTCGTGATTTTGATATTGAGATCGATTGTGAGATCGATCGTGAATTATCGTGAGATCGATAGTGGGATCGATATTGAGGACGATAATGAGAACAATCATGAGACCGATAGTGAAGTCGATTCAGTGAAACCGATAGCGAGGTCGATCGTGAGATCGCTCGTGCGATCTATAGTGAGATTGATTTTGAGATCGATCCTCAACAAATTCTGCAAACAAAGCGTTTTGCTAGAGAGATCCGCAACAAACGAAAATGCTCTCTTTACCATGCGTTTTATCGATCGGGATTTCGCAAACAGCGTTTCGCTCGGGACATTCTCAAAAGTTCATCCGCAGGCCATCTTCGACTTCGTTATTTTTCGCAGGTAAATCCGCCGGCCCACTTCGAACGTGGCACCGGGGACAATGCACCTGCAACAAGAGAACCCTGGGCTAATGCCCTTTCCAGGAACAGATGGGTGAGGAAGCCGGGCACGGACCCGACGGCACGTACAGCGCGGTAAAACGTGACTACGAACTCAAAGACAGCAGTCGGCATGCCCATCGCACGCAAGACCAAGATCATGTAGGCTGGCATAGGCTCGGGAACGCCTGGCCGTAGTCCAGGGTGACAAACGTGGGCAAGTGCTGGACGGAACCCGGCAAGGAGACCGACCAGGTAGCAACATCCACGTTAAAGACATTAGGTCCAAAATTACGTCCACGAGTTAATCCACGGTAGATTCATGGCACGACCGAGTCAACGACAGGGCTGAAGGCGTAGTTGAGGCAGGCGCTCAGTAACTTCATGTCGGTGTCCCGTAGGCACGAGACTCACACCTTGGGAAGCATGTCGCGAGGCCTGCCCTGTAATCACATCTTCTTCGTGATCAGCACCCTCTGGCAAGAGAGCCTGCAGAGTGTCCGCGCTGGCCAGGGATAGCGACGGACCAGTCAGTAGCCATGTCATCACTTCCCACAGCACTGAGAGGCCAGAAGGAACAACCCGTCAACACACAGTACCCATCGGTCGGAAGAAGCAGGTAGGAACATGAAGTAGGAAGGCGTTGAGAGTAGATTGGGTTCCGTCCGCCCCCGAAGGAGGACGGAACAGGTGAAGCCACTCGACCGTTGAAGTGGGAAGGCGCTCGAAGTAGGTTGGAACCTGGGAATCCAAAAAGACGTACTCCAGATTTCGTAATAAAGGGAGGGGGATCTCATTTCGGGGGGGGGTCTCTTCCAGGCTATCTTGGAGGGCCTGGGGGGGTCTGGGGACGATGTTTGGGAGGGTTCTCCCACGGGGGAGGTCTGAAATGGCTTGCCTTGGAGGGTCCAGACCCCCTCCCTTTTATTACGAAATCTGGAGTACTTTCAACGACCGATTGGGTCAGGTGTGCAGCCCACGCCCGCGTCAGAGTGGTGCGCGCGCAGAGCCGCCCTGCGCAGCCTGGGGGAAAAGCAGGCGGGGAGCGGGCCGCAGCGCTCGCCTTCGGGCAGCGCCGGGTCAGGCAGGTGCACGCTGGCCCGTGGCCAGCGCTTGAACAACGAGAAGACGGGCTTCCAGTACATTGCTCGGCCTGGCCTAGGGAAGGAAAAAGTAAGGAGCGAAGCCCCTTTTCTGCCAAGTAGGTCTACGACGTCCGACGGAGCACCAAGGGTGCTCGCCGCCGAAAAGGTAGCGGAACGCATGCAAACCAAAGGAACGACCGAGCCCCTTTTGAAAAGTAAGTGTTCCTAATTCAAGCCAGATCCTGTACGCTGGCTGGTGGCCAGTGCTTGAACGAGAAGATGGGCTTCCAGTAGCCATCCAGCGCGTCGTACTTGTCCTGAAGGTTTGTCACAACGACACCGTCAGTCTGTGCTGCAACCGGAACCGGCCTCTTCGAAAAAGGAGACCACAGCTGCGCCATGCGAGTGAGAGCACGAAATTGGACACGCGCACGTTGATGTGGAAGAACTCTATTGTCTCAGGCCGACTTGATTGTCTTGCGGTCCAATTCGGAGGCGTCGCGCTGCACGCGATCGGACCAAGCCTGGAACGACGGAGCGTGGCGAAGCGAGACGGAATTGCCAGAATGCACCAAGGCATCTGGAGCGTAATCATGTGAATGTGCCAACTGTCGAGCAAGGTCAATGTCATCTCGCCAAACACACCTAGCGATCGATCGAGCTATCTGCAATAGGGTCCTGGGACCCGCCGGGGACTTCCAGACTAGGGCGTCGCGGGTTTCGCGGGCAGCCTACTTGTAGCGCTCCAGCTTCGTCGGCGGGGCCATCGATGCGTACAAGCCGTCTGCCTCAATGATCGACTGAGGGTCTTTGCAAACAGCAGCGCCGAGAAGATGTGTTTGCCGATCGGCTTATCACGTCCACAATCGGGGATCCAAGGGTGAGCAGCGATACAATGACATGCATGGTCGCTCGCTCCGCTCCTGTGCAACTCCTCAGGAGGCTAGCACCATCACCCACCCATGCCAGCTCATAAAGAAACGCTCGATCGGGGCGACGGTGACCGACTCAGCATGGTACTGCGTGTGGTCGGCCGATGCACACGCCGTCGTGCAACCCAAACTCGGCAACCACCGACCCCCATGAGCACGAGCTGCAGCGGCGGCACCCGCAGTGCGCTGACGCAAGGGGCTATGGAGAGGAAGGGGGTCCTCGGCAGCCAGATTCAAATCCCCGTGCAGGACCACCACACGAGAGTCGGGCTGTTCGTCTGCCCACGCCTTGTCCTGGAGAAGACGAGCCTTGAGCACAGTCATCTCCGCAGCAGTGATCCCCAAATTGTTCACACTGTGCACACTGTGCAATCCACGAGGAGTCCCAGATTCCTCAGACAGCTCCACTCGAAGCACGCGTCCGGGAATAACTGAGGCATGATCAACACGCCCATGTTGGACTCGTCCAGGGAGGACTGTGGCAAGGACCCCTCGGTTCTGCCCGCCAGCCGAGGGGTCAAATGAAGAGGAAATGCGCGCGTCAGGTAGGGATGGTTTCTAAAACTCGCGAAGCTGCCACCCACCCTGGTGCACCTCCTGCACAGCTAAGACGGCCGACTCTGGTGCCAGCAGCTGGACATATGAGCTGTCTCGCGGGGAGGTGCACTGCGAAGCAGGGAGCGAGCATTCCACGACGGGGAGCGAAGACCCCCATGGGACCCGCCAGCAACGGCTTGCGGCCCCCACCGAGGGCGAAGAAGAAGTTCCAATTGGTCAACGACGCCGCACGGGCTCCCCCCTCCCTGGCGCGCGGAGCTCGCCGGGGGCGGCGCCTGAGGCGCCGCCAGGGGGGTCCAGCGCGGATCCGAGAAATCAGCGCGGACCTTCGAGTTTGTATATTCATGTCATTCTTTGTTCTCCTAAAAGTCAACCAGCAGATTTGCTCACGGTTTTGTGTCTGGACCGATGTGCACGGCAGTGGTGCCCTGCCCCGAGGCGCACGGCGGTGCCCAGCTGAGCCACCTCCCCGTCGCGCTGCATGCCGCCCAGGGCCTTGGCCACTCGACGGCCAGCAGGAGCAACAGGACCACTGAACTTGGAACTTAAGTACAGGTGGAGGTCAGTGCACAAGAAACCTGCCACAAAGAAGCCCAGTCCTGAGACCCCAGGACGTCCATTGACGTTTGGTGTGGGAACGCCACGCCTCCCATGGGCAAAACCATCGAAACCCAAGCACTCCAGGGCAACCTGGAGGCAAGCAGGGTGTTTCTTAGCATGGGTATCCACTGCACTAGCGCCTCAGCGACATCGGGGGCCTGCAAGGTGTACATGGAGGCGTCGAGGCCCAGCCACGGCGCAACCTCCTCCTGCATGAGACTGCCCTTGCTGACGAGGGCACGGCAAAGAAGGCGCAAGATGGTGGTGCCGCTGTCCCCGTCGAAGGAGGTGTCGGCAATGGAGGTGGACGGCACCTGCGTGGTCGCAGCCTCCAGCGCCGTCGACATCCTGCCAGCAAAGACCCGAGGATCAGCAACTTCACGCTCGTGGTCCGTCTTCCGTTGTTGAGCCTCCAGCTGGCGCGAGTGAACGTCCAGGAGGAGGAGGGGGAGGAGGATGAGGAGGAGGAGGAAGAAGAAGAGGAGGAGAAAGCGGATGATGATGATGCTGATGATGAGGAGGAGGAGGAAGAGGAAGAAGAGGAGAAAGAGGAGGAGGAGGAGGAGCAGGAGGAGGAGGAGGAGGAGGAGGAGGAGGAGGGGAAGGGGGAGGAGGAAGAGGAGGAAGAGGAGGAGGAGGCGGAGGAAGAAGAGGAGGAGAAAAAGGAGGAGAAAGAGGAGGAGCAGGAGGAGGCGGAGGAAGAAGCGGAGGAGAAGGACGAGGAGGAGAAGGAGGAGGCGGAGGAGGAGGAAAGCGAAAGGGAAGCGACGAGGGAAAAGGGAGAAAGCAGGACGGATGAAGGAGGAGGGAGGAGGGAGATGCGGTCCAGATGTAGGATGGGTGAGGAGATACCCCTTCCTTCTCATTTCTATACTCCTTCCCTCGTCTTCCTGTTCCCTTCCTTCCATCCCGCCTTGTTTGCAACCTCCTGCTGCTACTTTCTCGCCTTCCCCCCTCCGTCTTCCTGCAAGGGGGGGGGAAGTACCCCCCTTCTGCACCCCCACTCTTGCCGTCGCTCGGACGTCCATTTCCCGTGCATTTTTCGGTTTCGTGCGTGTTTTTTCTGGTCGATGGTCCAGGATGGTCCTCGATGGTTCTCGCCGAGAAAACATGCACACGTCCGAGCGACGCCAAGCACTCCTTGAAGACCATCTCGAGGACCAGGCTAGGCCCGTCCAGCTCCCAGGACGACTTCCAATCGCGGCCCTTCATGGCGTCGCGGAGGATGCCCCCGAGGCGCTCTGCGCACGTGGCGACGTAGCGCGCCATCGCGGCCTCGCTCGCCGACCTGGTGGCCGCCAGGAGCGCCGGGCAGGGCGCGAGCTCGGCGGCCGTCGAGTCGAGGTCCGCGCACAGGTCCCTGGCCTTAGTAAAGGGGCCCAAGGACACACAAAAAAATAGACACGAATAACAGGATCCCCCATATTTTCTTATATTTTCTGGGCTTTCGTCTTCCCCCCAAACTGCCCATACTTCCCAATTTTTTGGGGGAATCGACGATTCATTGTGTCTGTGTGTTTCTTCCCCTCCTGACTTAGGTCGGGCATGTCCTCCTACAGGAGGATTTGGGACGAAGAACAAAACATAGTCAGAACAAATTCAAAGATGGTCAAAGATGGTCGAAAAATCGTCCCCAGACGATTGTGTGCCTAGGTTTGGATGCTCCTCCTGTAGAGTGACAGGCCCTACCAAACCCTGGCCTTCGCCCAGGCGCCGCCGAAGACCTTCTCCTCCAGCCGCCTGCCCAGCGCCAGCAGGGCCAGGCTGAAGAGGCCGCCCGCGCGGTCCAGCTTGGCCAGCGCCTCCAGCTCGGGGCGCCGAACCTACGGGGCCCAAACATGTACACCACCACCCCCCTCCCTCACCCCCTCCCTCTCCCAGGAAAGAGGAGCGGAATAAGAGTCGGGGGCGGCAAAGAGGGGGGTGTCCAAGAGGGGGGGGTGCAAATCATGACCGGCGGCATGTGCGCGGCCCAGCGGGGGACCAGGGACGTAATGAAATAAGAAGAGGCGCCATGAGATCTGGGGAAAACATCATGGCCCCCGCCATGATATCCCCCCCCCCTAGTCATCACCCCCCTCTTTGCCGGCCCCGAAAGAGGGCAGAGGAAGGGGAAGAGTCGACGTGCCGGTGGTGTATATTCTTGGGGCCCGCAGAGCCGGGTCTGCGGCGCCGCCGGCGGCGCAGGCGCGGCAGGCCTCGGCGAGGGCGGAGCACAGATCGGACAGCTGCCTGTCCAGGGTGCTCACGAGCTGCTTGGCGGCACGTCCATCCTGGGGCTTGACTGCCCCGATGCGCAACGCGCAACCCGTAGCGTTGAGTCGGGCCTGTATCTCTACAGGGGGGGGGTTTGACGAAAAATAAAAAATACCCAACAAATACTCTAAAAATACACAAAAAAACAAAACAGTCAAACAATAATCCCCAGGCTATTTTTTACGATTTTTGAATATTCCCCCTGTAGAGGGACAGGCCCGACTTAACCGCAGCGTGTTGACACGCAGCTCAACACGGAGATTGAAAACGTGCGTTTGGCGCGATGCGGTCGCCAACGTGTGGGCCAATACGTGGAGCCAACGCGCAGCGTAGTACCACGGACGTCTTGACGGGTACGCCGACCAGCCAAAACTGGGGGAGCTGTGGTCCTCACCCCCCTGGGGGAACCCATCGCATCGACGATCCCTCGAGAGGGGTGTCGAAATCGATGGGTCCCCCAGGGGGGTAAGGGCCCCGGAAACGGCAGGGCCGTTTTTTCACCGTTTCCAAAAAAATGTTCCTTCAAAATGGAAACGGCAAAAAAACGGCGACCGGAAACGGCAACAAAAACGGCTCCAGAATTGGAACCGGAGCCGGAACCGGTCAAAAAACGGCGACGGAACCGGTAAAAAAACGGCGTCGGAACCGGCAACAAAAACGGCAAAACGGAACCGGTAAAAAAACGGCCCTGTCGCTTCCAGGGCCCACTAAGGTAAGGACCACAGCTCCCCCAGTTGTGGCTGGCCTGGCACGTGCTGCGCTTCGAAACGGGCGCATCGGGGCTGCCAAGATCCTGGGTGCTCAGAGCAGTGGCGCTCAGCAGGGGCTGGCAGAGCTGCACCGCCTGCTGCACCCCGGAGGCGAGGGCGCGCTCCGCGCTGCCGACCTCCTCCAGGAGGCCGTCCACGCTGCGGCTCTTGGACTCCTCCAGCCGCTGGCACTCGCAGCGCAGCCGGCCGAGCTCGGCGGCCGCGGCCACGACGGCAGCAGAGAAGAGCCCTCCGATGCCGAGGCCGGCCTGGTGAGCCAGGAGCTCATGGGTCAGCCTGGCCACCAGCTCCGGCATGAGCGGCTCCAGCTGGCCCAGAGAGGCTCTCAGGACCTGCATGCACTCGACGAGCGTGTCCACTGGTACGTCTCTCTTCTCGGCGTGCCGGCCAATGCGGTCGCTCAGATCCTCCAGCCTGGCGGCCACGAAGTCGGGCAGAGCGCTTCCGTCTGCGGCCTCGACCTCGGAGGCCGGCAGCGTGCCCTGAATCTTGCGCATGCCTACAATCGTGTCGCGGATTACCGGCAGGTACCTCTCGGCCGCCGCCGTGGAAGCACTCTGAAGCACCGCCCCCGGCTTTCCGCTGTCTGCCGCAGGGGCAGACGACTCGCTCAACACCCCCTGCAGCGTGGCCGTCCTGCCCTGCAGGAACTCTCTGGTGATCTTGGCATAATCCTCGCCCAAGTCGAGCAGCGTCAGCGAACCGTTCACTGCCTCGTCGACGGGGGTGGAGGGGGACTTGAGGCGGGCCCTGATAGGACGAGAATGATGTCATGATTGGATTGGCCCAGGATGCGTTTCAAGATTTCCAAGGTATCTGGCGGCCCTCGTTTCTGGAGCTCGTGTGGACATGTTCGAAATCTGGGAAATCCTGGAAATGTGTTGGAAATCTTGGATCGTATCATTATCATGACCTCTTGCTCCCCTGACCTGAGAGCGCTTCGGATGCGGCTCATCTGGTGCTCCACGTCCTCGATGATCCTCTGGAAGGCGGGGATTCCCTTGTGCTGCCGGAGGAAGGGCGCACAGCAGCTGTAGGCCCGGCAAGCGTTGCTGTAGGACTCTTTTTCCAAGCACTTCGCCAGCGTCGTCGGCAGGTCCATCAGAACCTTCAGCTTGCTAAAGAGGGCCTGCTGCTTAAGCAAGGCCTCGATCTCATGGGCCCTACCAGAGACCCCGGCGTCCACCTTGCGCTGGCCCGCAATGATCTTTTCGAAACTCTGCTCAAGGCGCCCGAGGTCTGGCTTCAGCTCATCCATGCTGGTCTTGATCTGCTTGATCACGTCGGTCTCTCGGATGAATTTGCTGTAGTTCTCGTACGCCACCATCTGGTTGTCGCCGTCTAGATCGCGGACCTCTTCATCCAGCTCGTTGGCCTGCTTAACAACGTCAACGACTAGCCCCGTGCTGACCACCGATTCGAAGTGCTGCTTGGCGTCGAAGCCTTCTCGGTCGATCGGCTTCGCTGGTCGGGCCGAAGCCTGCGCTGCGGCGCCGCCAGTGACGTCGATGCCGTAGTAGGCGCTGAGCATCGCCCCAACCCGCCTGGAACCATCTGAAACCATGCTAAGTACGGTCGGGCGTTTTTGGATAGCGTGTCGCCGCGGCTGCCCCTGCGACATGCTCTGCCATGCGAGCGGATACCGTGTCGCTCCGCTCCGCGGGGCGGGAGGCTGGGAAAAGCTGGGGACGTTGACGCTGGGAGGCCGGGAAGTGGATAGAGTGTCGCGCCGAAGCGCGGTGGGCCAGAAAAGGCGGGGCGACACGCTACAGTAGGAGCCCGACCACAAGAAACTTTCCACAAGAAGCCCAACCCTGAGACCCCAGGACGTCCTTGGATTTCTGGTGTGGGGACGTCGCGCCCTTCATCGCAAGACCATCGAGGCGCCCAAGGAACCCAGGGCGCCCTGGAGGCAAGCAGGGCGCTCCTCGGCATGGGCCCCCACTGTCTCCAGGAGATGGGGAGCGGCCAAGAGGGGGATGTCCAGGGGGGGGGTGCAAATCATGACCGGCGGCATGTGCGCGGCCCAGCGGGGGGGGCCAGGGACGTAATGAAATAAGAATTGCGCCATGAGATCTGGGGAAATATCATGGCCCGCGCCATGACATCCAACCCCCCCTAGCCATCACCCCCCTCTTTTCCGCCCCCGAGGAGATACCGACCGTGGCCGCGGGCACCGAGCCCGGCCACCCCGGTGCAGCCCGGCCCCGGGACGAGGACGGGCGGGTGCGCACACCTGGCCAGGCCAGGGTGGCGTGCGAGTCGGCCCCTGGAGCCAGGAGTAAACCTCGCCCCCCCCCCCCCCTCCCCGAGAGGAACGGCTAGGAGGAGGAGGAGGAGGAGGAGGAGGAGGAGGAGGAGGAGGAGGAGGAGGAACCCCGGCTAGGGAGGTCGGGGGCCCCCCACCAGAGGCCTCTACGCCGAGGCCCCCGTAGCAGGAGAGCCCAGAATCGAATCGACAAGTCGGATCGGCGATGGAAAGGAGCCGAATCGGCGGGAATCGGCAGCCGAGTCGGGAAGAGTCGAATCGGCGGAACTCGGCAGGCTAGTATGCCTCATAAGAAATCGGAGCCCAAATCGGAATCCCAAGTCGAATCGAATCGGAATCGAAAGCCATCGAAATCGAACCGAATCGAAGTGGAGGAGTCGAAATGAGTCCTGTCGTAGGGGCCTCCAGAGGCCCAACAGCAAGCCAAGACCGTCCGCAAACTTAGATCCTGGATGCTCGAGGGGTGCCCGATGTACTGAACGAGGTCCCCAGTAGGGCCGGACCTAGGACAGAAAAACATCCTGCAGGAACATGAGACCCTCCGCCAGCCAAACCGAAGAAAATTCGAGGGTACCCTCCGCCAGGATGCACAAAAACATCCAACAAACACGAAGAACACGAAGGCACCCTCCCAGAACCGATCTCGATCTCATACTTCGGTTTGACCGTGATTTTGACCAGTTCTCGAGGGACCACCTTTTCATCCTGAGTCGTTTCGGATACCTACTGACCCGGGTCAATCCAAACCTCGGGTCAGTCAGGGGTTCCAGGATCCTGCAAGATCTTTCAGGATCCTCCACCCAGGCCCGGGTCAATGTACCCCTGGCTCTGCAGGATCCTGCAGGATCCGGCGCTCTGGCTGACCCCCGTCGCGTCCCTTGAGCCCCGAACGGCCCCGGGGCCCGGCGAGGGCCCCCCCCCCCCCCCGGATGCCGAAAACGGCCAAACCTCCCGCCGTGCTCTTTCCACAACGCTCGGGGCTCTGGGTCACCCTGTCCCTCCACAGCGGCCGGTTCGAAGCAGCCCTTTTCGGGAGCCTCTCCGAAACCTCTCGAGAGCCTGACGGAAGCCCGTAAGAGGCTGCGCAAAGGCTCGTAGGAGGCGGCCCCACGAGAGCTTCTCCACTGCGCATGAGGGTAGTACGTTTGCTGTCTGTCTCAATTCGGCTGTGACGCGCCCGACTTGAGTGGTTGTAATCGGTGCCCTTTCGTTCCTGAACAGTCCGAGGCGGGTACGATCGGGCTCATTTCCCCCCCCCTGGGCCCGAGCTCGAGCCGAGCCCGGGCCGGAGCCTGGGCCTCAGGCTCGAGCCCAGGCCCGAGCTCGAGGCCGAGCCTGCTCCCCAGGCCCGAGACCGAGCCCGAGCCCACAGACCCGAGACCGGCCCGAGCCGAGGAGAGAGCCCAGGTCCGAGCCAGGGCCTCTGGCACGAGGGCCCTCAAACCCCAGAGGCCGAGGAGCAAAACCCACGCGCCCCGGCCACACGCCGGAGCGGCCCTGGGCACAGGAGAGACCTCAGGGGCGCAACTTTCGGGGGCCGCGGGGGGGGGGCCAGGGCCAGGAGCAACCCAATGATGAGGTACGATCGTTTTTCTCCAAGGGGTCTTTCTACGGGGAAGAAAGACACGTCCCGATCTTTCCAGCTTCAAATGCACGGTGAGGAGCCCACGCAAAAAGGATGCCACTCCCGTGGAAAGTCACTCCTGCACGCAGAGACGACAACTTTGCTCTCCTCCTCCTCCTCCTCCTCCTCCTCCTCCTCCTCCTCCCTGTCCTCCTCCTCCTCCTCCTCCTCCTCCTCCTACTCCTCCTCCTCCTCCTCCTCCTCCTTCAAGCGCGAATCGGCGATGCAGCGTTGACAGATCGGCGACAGGCACCCGATGGCGAATCCGCAGATTCCCGTGCGGGGTCGACCGCGATCAGCAGGCGACTGGGAGTCGATGCGTTCCCTCCTGAGCCCATACCCCCCCCCTGACGTTGCCCCCTGGCTGTCATAACTCGGCTCTCCGGCGGCCGTTCGGGACGCTCCGGGCACCCCGGAACGCCCTCGGCGAGGCGCAGCCGCTGGAGAGCACCCCGAGGCTGGAAAATCTTCAGGCTTCCACGAAACGCCCGAAAACCTGTCGGGCGCACGCTAGGGAAGTGTGGATATGCTGCACATTCAAGTCGCCAGATCTATGGCAATCTATGGATCGGATAAGGTACCCCCGAGAAGAAACGGCACCAGTGCCGCCCGATTTGGTGGCGCAGCGCGCAGGTCCTGTATGGAAACACGACACGTCGCTAATCCACGCTCCTTGCCTTAACCCATGCCTGTGTTTCCTCGGGACCTCGAATCTAAAACCTCCCGATGGTCCATGCCTTCGGCGAGGCTCTCGGCCGAGTACGTGTAATGCCCGCCCCCAGGCCATTCGCCAATATCGTCGCCTCCGACCCCCCTGATGTTGCCCCTCACCGTGCAGGCCCTAAGAAGATACACCACCACCACCACCACCACCACCACCACCACCACCACCACCACCACCACCACCACCACCACCACCACCACCACCATCATTCCCCCTCCCTCCTCCGCCCTCCTCTTCTCCCCCCTCCTTCCCTGGGAGAGGGATGTGGTGAGGGAGGTGGTGGTGCGGGCCCCAAGACTATGCACCACCACCGCAACCGCCTCCATTCCCCCTCTCGCCTCCGCCCCCCTCTCCCCCCCCTCCTTCCTGAAAGAGGGATGGGGGGAGGGAGGCTCGCCATCGCTCGGACGTCCATTCCCTGTGTTTTTCCCAACCATCCTGTGGTGCTGGGTCCTCGTTTTGAAGAGACAGCGCCCCGCGTCCCACCTCCTCTCCTCCTCCTCCTCTCCTCCTCCCCCTGGCTGCCGTCCGCATGCGTCCCGCACACCCATTTCGGCACACCCCTCACACGTTTCGTGGCCCCACAGGGAGCTCCACCGAAGGCCCCAGTGCTGCCGTCCGCATGCGTCCCGCACACCCATTTCGGCACACCCCTCACACGTTTCGTGGCCCCATAGGGAGCTCCACCGAAGGCCCCATGGCTGCCGTCCGCATGCGTCCCGCACACCCATTTCGGCACACCCCTCACACGTTTCGTGGCCCCACAGGGAGCTCCACCGAAGGCCCCAGTGCTGCCGTCCGCATGCGTCCCGCACACCCATTTCGGCACACCCCTCACACGTTTCGTGGCCCCATAGGGAGCTCCACCGAAGGCCCCATGGCTGCCGTCCGCATGCGTCCCGCACACCCATTTCGGCACACCCCTCACACGTTTCGTGGCCCCACAGGGAGCTCCACCGAAGGCCCCAGTGCTGCCGTCCGCATGCGTCCCGCACACCCATTTCGGCACACCCCTCACACGTTTCGTGGCCCCATAGGGAGCTCCACCGAAGGCCCCATGGCTGCCGTCCGCATGCGTCCCGCACACCCATTTCGGCACACCCCTCACACGTTTCGTGGCCCCACAGGGAGCTCCACCGAAGGCCCCAGTGCGTGCCGTCCGCATGCACCGCACACCCATTTCGGCACACCCCTCACACGTTTCGTGGCCCCATAGGGAGCTCCACCGAAGGCCCCATGGCTGCCGTCCGCATGCGTCCCGCACACCCATTTCGGCACACCCCTCACACGTTTCGTGGCCCCACAGGGAGCTCCACCGAAGGCCCCAGTGCTGCCGTCCGCATGCGTCCCGCACACCCATTTCGGCACACCCCTCACACGTTTCGTGGCCCCACAGGGAGCTCCACCGAAGGCCCCAGTGCTGCCGTCCGCATGCGTCCCGCACACCCATTTCGGCACACCCCTCACACGTTTCGTGGCCCCATAGGGAGCTCCACCGAAGGCCCCATGGCTGCCGTCCGCATGCGTCCCGCACACCCATTTCGGCACACCCCTCACACGTTTCGTGGCCCCACAGGGAGCTCCACCGAAGGCCCCGCTGCCGTCCGCATCCCGCACACCCATTTCGGCACACCCCTCACACGTTTCGTGGCCCCATAGGGAGCTCCACCGAAGGCCCCATGGCTGCCGTCCGCATGCGTCCCGCACACCCATTTCGGCACACCCCTCACACGTTTCGTGGCCCCACAGGGAGCTCCACCGAAGGCCCCAGTGCTGCCGTCCGCATGCGTCCCGCACACCCATTTCGGCACACCCCTCACACGTTTCGTGGCCCCATAGGGAGCTCCACCGAAGGCCCCATGGCTGCCGTCCGCATGCGTCCCGCACACCCATTTCGGCACACCCCTCACACGTTTCGTGGCCCCACAGGGAGCTCCACCGAAGGCCCCAGTGCTGCCGTCCGCATGCGTCCCGCACACCAGGTGTGTGGCGTGCCGACATGGGCGTCGCGGCGCGCGGGCGCTGCCGTCGGGGTTCCCAGGGAAGCCCCCTGCAGAGGCGACGCTCAGAGTCACGAGTACCGAGAGTCACGCAGACCCAAACTGTTCACAGTCGTATACATACATTTACACTGGGCGTATCCATGCACGCATTCATGCGAATAGAATCAATCGCGCGCAGATTCATTCATAATCAGACTCGCTCGCGATCCGACTCGCACGCGCTCAAGCTTTCATATTCGGACCTATCGTCTTCGTTCGTGTTGTGTACACTGCCACGCATTTCGGCACACCCCTCATACGGCTCGTGGCCCCATAGGGAGCGCCACCGAAGAAGATATTCACAATTGCGGTACTCTCAACTGCATATGGTTGGGTCCTTCGCCAGGCTAATTTTCGGTTTCGTGCGTGGCTTTTTCGCCAAATGATCCAGGATGCTCCTCGATGGCTCCCGCCGAGAAAAAAAGTGCACACGTCCGAGCGAGGCCAGGGAGGTGGTGGTGGTGGTGGCGTCTACTTTTGGGCCCCGCACTCACCGCGCCTCCGCTGCGGCGCCGCCGCCGGGGCCCCTGGCGCCCCCGGAGGCTCGGCCATCGTGCCGCGCTTCCGCGCCGCCACGGCTCGGGGCGGGTCGGGCTCGAGGCGCCTGCCGCTCGGCGCCTGCGCGCCGATGGGGGGGGGCGCCTGGAGCCGCGGCAGCTGCGGGAGGACAGGCCCTGAGATCCGGGCGTTGCAGTCCTCCTCTTCGCTCCTTCTCTTTGCTCCTCCTCCTCCTCCTCCTCCTCCTCCTCCTCCTCGCTCCTCGCTCCTCGCTCCTCCTCCTCCTCCTCCTCCTCCTCGCTCCTCCTCCTCCTCGCTCCTCCTCCTCCTCCTACTCCTCGCTCCTCCTCCTCGCTCCTCCTGCTCGCTCCTCCTGCTCGCTCCTTCTCCTCGCTCCTCAGGCGTTTCCGCCATTTCTCGGGCCCCAGGACCATCACAGATCGATCCACCTCGAACAATGGCGCAGAAAGCTGGGGTAGAGTCTAGGGCTCTGGTCGCAATTTTTTGTTGTCACGAAATGTTGCATGTGTTGGCCTCGTTGCATCTCAGGGAAAAGTCCGAGCTCCAAATCATTGGGGCCGGGAGTCGTCAGGGTCGAGGGCTCAAACCAGAGTTGCCTCGGACCGGAGTTATCCTGGATAACTCGGGCGTCCAACCATTACCAAATCACCGGGGCCCGTGGTGGTCAGGGGTAGCTTCTGATTCGTGCCTCGAGGGCCCAAACCAAAGTTACCCCGGACCAGAGCTATCTTGGAATAACTCGGGCGCCCAGGTAGGACAGGATTTGGACGCCGCTCACCGTGTACCAGACCAGCTCGATGCACGATGCCACGCATGCGGGCCCGAGCGGAAGCGTACATCGAACTAATCTGGTATCCGGCTGGCGTCGTCAAAAGGATGCAGTCGGCCCATAGAAGCAGAAAAACGCCATAAACATAAACGATCGGCGATCTGCGCGAGTTTCTTGGATCCGCGCTGGGCTCCTGCTGAGGTGCAGCGAGCAAGAACCCTGAGGTCACGTATGCAAACATACTGATAGCGTAGCACCAGCTATTGAGGATGATGACGGGGAGCAGCAGGATATGCAGGAAGAGGAGCAAGAGGATGCAAGAGGGGAATCAAGGGGGGCCGAGGAGCAGGAGCAGGGGGAGAGAAACCGCATCAAAAGGAAGGGGGAGGAAGTCATGAGATAAACGAGGATAAATATGTGGATTGTGATGAGTATAAGCATGACCAAGACTTGAAGAAGTAGTAGGAGGTGAGACAAAGCACTAAAACACACAAGGCAGAAGCGAGAGGAGGAGAAAAGCAGGATTATGAGCAGTAGTAGGGCAAGGATCAAGAACAGCAGGAGGAGGAGGACGACGACGACGAGATGAAGACGCATGAAAAAGAGCAGGATGGCGTGGATGGTGAGGATAACAAATTGGCCATGGACGATGAAGAGAACGAAAGGCTAAACGATTGTGAACAAATGTGCGAGATTTGAACCCTGAACATACGCCAAGGGCACCCCAAACTCACGAAATCAACACTATTGGCCGTGTTGTTGGCTGACGGTCAGGAAACTCATCGACATGATCGAAGTTCTGGTGGACATACCCGTGATGATGGGCACACTGGAAAGCCATATCACACCTGAAGTAAAGATCAACAGAAAACTGTCCATATCCCACAACAAACGGGCGGCGGGAAAGTAATACATTAGCCTGGTTGGAGACCCAACCATGTGCAGCTGCGAGTACCGCGAGGGGCCACGAAACGATGGCCCGAGGCCGCCATGCGAACCCTGCCGCTGGGGCCTTCGGTGGAGCTCCCAGTGGGACCGCGAAGCGTGCGAGGGGTGTGTCGAACTGGCCCGAGGCCGCCATACGGACCCTGCCACTGGAGCCTTCGGTGGAGCTCTCTATGGGACGGCGAAGCGTGTGAGAGGTGTGCTGAAATGGCCCCCGAGGCTGCCATGCGGACCTTGCCACTAGAGCCTTCGGTGGAGCGGGCTTCGAAGCGTGCGAGGGGTGTGCCGAAATGACCCGAGGCCGCCATGCGGACCCTGCCGTTGGGGCCTTCGGTAGAGCTGCCTATGGGACCGCGAAGCGTGTGAGGGGTGTGCCGAAATAGTAACGTACGTTCCAAAGACATGGCGGCGGGACAGAAAAAAACACATCAATCAGTCCAAGCTCCCCAAAGAAACTGACAGCGAATCTTCTTTGAATCAGTCTCGATTAGTTCTGGCAGGCTGCGCTTTGGAATCAGGCGCCTCGCGTGCGCTCCTGCTGAGCAGGGACCGGCCGTCCCGGCATTCCTATAGGCCTACCACGAAATGTTCTTAGAACCCCACAGATGTTCTAAGAACAAGAACAAGATTCTTAGAACATAAACCCGATGCCCCAGCGGGAAATGTTCTAAGAACATTTCGTGAAAACCACAGAAGGTCCTTAGAACACTGTTTGGTGGGCCTATAGGCGCCAGGACGCTTCGTCACTGCTTGATCCTGGGCGGCCCCACCCAGCGCCCGCAAGCGCTCCCGCGCGCTTTCCCCCACAGCACTCGCAAGCGCTCGCAAGGCGCGCAGGCGCTCCGAGGCGCTCGCATGCGCTCTCAGGCGCCCCCCGGGGCACTCGCAAGCGCCCGCGAGCGCGCGCGGGCGCTCCCAGGCGCCAGAGCTTGCAACACATATGTGCGCAAAAAACAAGCGCGGGGAACAGACAATAAATGGCGGCGGGCTCGCAGGCCAAAAGCTGTTCGAAATGCCAGCGGCGGGGGAAGAGGAAACCCATTCAGTACTGCAGTGAACACCGTAGAAATCGGGGTGATAAGGCCATCGCACGGGAGCACACCAGTATGACATAATGCAGCGGGATCCGCATATGAAACACCATATGCCAAATACAACATGTGAAACGCAGAACGTAAGTTCGACGAACCTCACAGACTGGTTTTGCGACAAACCAAACGGTTCCACTGCAGGTCATGCACAGGGGAGGAAGACCATCAAATTTCCAGCAGCGCAAGGTTCCAGGGTGTGGACTACAGCAAAAAATCGAGGAAAGGACAACATGATCAGCCAGAATGCGTAGGTGCAACCGATGCTTTGCATGTGAGATGTGATATTCGAAGAGCATAACAATTTCATAACAACACTTTGCCGCAGTGAGTGAGCTGGCAGTTTGCCCGACAAGTGCCTGTAGCGAAACACACTGAATAAGACCGGGTAGAGCGGCGCCTGAAGCACATTGCGTAAAGGTTAGCACCTGCTCTTGCGACATGCCAATGAACTGGAAGACGGGGAGGGAACATAGAAGACCAGCATACGGTATGCTAAGACTTGCGCGGCCCAGGGAAATAAGGTGTTAACAATGGAAAGCGGCGAGCGGCGAAGACAGCAATGATGTCAGTGAGAACCAGCCACACGATGGCGCCGCCTCCAGGCAAAAGCCTGCAATTGGATCCACGCGGTGGCGCTCCAGAGTGCAACATCAAATACAGGCTTGAGCGAGAACCATAAACGATTATGGGAGAGGAAGAGAAGAAGGAAGCGGGGTCATCGCCTTGCCGTAGCTCTGTCCTGAGAGAAGCGGCTCAGCGGTGAGCACGTCGAAGCAGAATGACAGCAACGACGAGATGACGCCGTGGACCTCTGGTGCAGCGCGGCCGCTCTGGGAGGGAGGAAAGGAAAAGAAAGGCTCTGGAGGATGAGAAAACGAGGGGGCGTGAGGGAAAGGAAAAGGGAGAGTCAGGGAGGTGGGGAGGGAGGCAGGAAAGAGGAGCGAGCGATGGAAAGTGAGGGGGAGGCAGGGGGCAAAGATGGGGGAGAGAGGAAAAGGGAGGGAGGAAAAGGAATTGATATCTAGATGCTGAGTTTGATGTGCCCATCTTGTTATGCATGCGGTTGCTCATTTCCCGCGCTGACGTCCGCTTCCGCATGCCCCCCCGCGTCAATTTCCTCTCTCGTTGCTTTGTCGTGCCTCGCCGCGCTGCTATCGCAAACAAATGATACGAACGGGAGAAGGAAAAGGAACCGGATCAGAAGATCGTGATGGAAGTTGGAGGGGGGATGGCGGAGGGGAGCCAGGGGCGGGAAGAAGGAATGGAAAAAGGAAGAAGGACCTCGGTGGGGGAGGGGCAAGAGGAGAGAGAGAGAGAGAGAGAGGGGAAGAAGGACGAGGAAGGACGGGGAGGTGCACGGGGGAGGATAGGATATGGCGCGGGGAAGGAGAAGGAGAGCGGAGCGAATGAGGAGGAGAGGTGGGAGAAGGAGAGAGAGAGAGAGAGACAAGAGAGAGAGAGAGAACGAATCTATATATATATATATATAAAAATATATAGAAAGATAGAACGAATAGAAAGACAGAGAGAGAGAGAGAGAGGAGAGAGACACCGAGAAACCGAGGTAGACAAAGACAAGGATGTGCGCGGGTGTCCGCGCGGGCGCCGGGGCGACAGGCGCCCCGCGCGCCACTGCCCATCCGGGCCAGGGCGCGGCCTGGAAACCCGAGCCCGAGGCACTCTTGGTGCGCGGCCGACGGGGAGGACTCCGTCGCCCTCTCGCATCTTCCTCTCTCCTCCTCCTCCTCCTTCTCCTCCTCCTCTTCCTCCTCCTGTTCCTCCTCCTCTTCCTCCTCCTCCTCCTTCTCCTCCTCTTCCTCCTCCTCCTCTTTTCTTCTTCCTCCTCCTCCTCCTCCTCCTCCTCCTCCTCCTCCTACGCATGACAGAAGATCGGAACGCGGCGGGCGGCCACGGCGCAACGCACCGTGCGGCGAGCATTCGAATGGGGCGTGGACCGCGCCCGTGTTGGGAGCAGCGGGGGAGGGAACTCTCCCTTGGAAGGCTGGCAGCGCCCAGGGGGGAAACTCGGTGGCAACAGTGGGGTGACATCTGTTTCTGCGTCGGCGGCTGGGCAGAGCAACTGCGCTGGAGGAGAGCTGACTAAACGGGGGTATCGTTGTAGCGAATTGTGCCACAAGGCAAGGGGGAGGGGAAAGGACAGAAGAAACGGCCGAAGGGGGGGGGAGAGGAGCGAACAGTGGGGCGAAACAGGTGGCCTTGCAGCCGCTCCCGGGTGGCGGTGCTAGTGGCAGCCGGCGTGGCGGCCAGCAGAAAAAATACACACGTTGCGTATGTTGCGTCCGTTGTGCGCCTGATGTCTGATGTATATGTTGTATATACTGCAGGTAATGTGTATGGAATGTAGATTGTATATGTCGTGTGACGTGTATGTGCAGTTGTGTTGTATATGTTGTAGCTGGTGTGTGTGGCCTATATCTGAATACAGATCTGTAGTTCTGGACATATGTTAGCCAGCGCTGACCCCAAGCAGCGTGTGTCTAGCAATCTGTCTTGTACAAACTATGTGGATCAATCTACGTAGTGCAATCTATGTGGTGCAATCTGTGTTATGCTACATATGTTGTGCAATCTATATTGTTTCAGCTTGTGTACTATGTGTGGGGATATGTATGTGATGCAATACGCGTGGTGCAATCTACGTGGTGCAATTCACTTGCCGAACTTGAAATACCAACTCCACTGCGCGCACCATCATCCTACCCACTCACCCGCGACTTGGTTTGAAAAACCCATGCGGGAGCGATTGCGATGGGTGCTGGGTGAACGACTTCGACGACACCGACGACGTCTCCAACGACTTCGACGACGACGACAACGACGACGACGACAACACCGACGACGACGACGCCGACGCCGACGCTGACGACGGCGACGACGATGACAACGCCGACGACGACGACGACGACGCCACCGACGACGACGACGACGACAACGACGCCGACGCCGACGCCGACGACGACGACGCCGCCCACGACAACGACGACGACGACGCCGACGCCGACGACGACGAAGACGACGTCGCCAACGAAGACGACGACGACGAGGGAGGAGGGAGGACGACGACGGCGACGACGACAACGACGAGGGAGGAGGGAAGACGACGACGACGACGACGACGACGGCGACGAAATAGGAGGGACAACGACGAAAGGCAGACGAAGACGGCGAGGGAGGAAGGACGACCACGATGACAACGACGACGGAAACGACGACGACGCCAAGACGACGTCGACGACGAGGAAATACAGAGGACGACGACGGCGACGACGACGAGGGAGGAGGGAGGACGGCGACGACGACGACGACGACGCAAGAGCGCGCGCGCACGCTTTTGTTGAAAATCCGTGTTGCGAAACCTTTTGTGCTTGTATGTTTTTTGACACACGATCTTGAAATCCTTCAGAAACCGAAGGTTTTTGAATGATTTCGACATGCGCGCGCCCGAAGCCCGTTTGGTAGTATGTTTTTGAAACTCTTGAAACACCTGTGGATTTTCGTGAGATTTTGCAAGAGCTCGCGAGTAAGTTTTTTTAGAAAATCAATGTTGCGAAACCATGTGTTGTTGTATGCTTTTTGTAAACTCGACTTTGAAATCCTTCCGAAACCGAAGATTCTTGAAGGATTTCGGCATGCGCGCGCGACGACGCGCTCGTGTGCACTTCGTCCCATTTGTTGCAAGGGGTTCTTGAAAACTTGCGATTTTTGATAAACGAGAATGTGTGCATAGTATTTTTGCAGAAGATGGCGGGGGGGAGTGATACCGGCCTGGCTGGGATAGTATGAGTTCATAGTTAGGATGGACGGTGTGGCAGAATCGTATGTAAATTGCAATGCGAAGCGGTGGCGCCTTAACTCCGGGGAGGGTTAGAGTCTGTTCTTCTATGAGAAAGGGGAATCTACGGTGTACAATCCGATGTTTTGCTCGACAGATGTGGCACGCAAAATGCTTGCTGCAATCGACGTGGTGCAATATTTGTGGTACAATCTACGTGGTGGAAACCATTTGGCCAATCAATATGGTGCAACCTATGTGGTGCGATCTACGTTGTGTAATCTATGTGGTGCGAGCTATGTTGTGCAATCTAACTATGTGGCGCAGTCTATGCTGTCAGCGATCACAAAGCTCGTTGCAACCGCGATTCTCTCGTGCAATCTATCTGGTACAATCCAGCGGCGGCGACTGGCGGCGACGACGCGGCGACGGCGGCCACATAGCCGCCAGACGGGCGACACGATCCAGACGACGGGCGGCGACGAGGTGGCGACGGGGCGGCAACGGCTGGCACGGAGCGCCAGACCGACACGCAAGCCCAAGCGACGGGCGGCGGCGAGGCGGCAACGAGGTGGCGACGGCCCGCACGGAGCCGCCAAACCGACACGCAAGCCCAGGCGACGGAAAGGGACGAGACGGCGACGGGGCGGCGACGGCCGGCACGGAACCGCCAGGCTGACACCCAGGCCCACTTCTCTAAAACAGAAATAAGACCCCCTAGGTGCAAACACTGTCTAGGCAATCTGCACATATATATATATATATGTATATAGATGTATATAGATACACACATGCGATTTGATGCTGTATATGTTGTATATATATAGTGTTTGTATACGCGTTGTATGTTTGTACATGGTGTATGTACCGTGCACGTTGTATGTACTGTACATGATGTAATTGCTGCGTATGGCGTGGGTGTTGTACGTGCTGTGCCGAATGTAAATGCTGAGTATAAAAAAATACAGATATAGATGTATGGCAGGTGTTTCGTGTGCAATGTAAATTGCATGTGTGGCGTATGTTGTACGTGATCGGTGTGTTGTTTATGTTGGGCATCCTACAAACGGTGAGCAGGTTGTGTGTAGTGGTTTTTTTCACTTACAGAACGGATGAAACAGCATGTTTGTGAACCGTGGATCTGCATGGTGTACATGAAGTCTGGTGTATATGTTGTGTATGGTGTATCAGGTCAAGATGATGCGTACGTCGCATATGTTGTATATGGCGTATGATTACTGCATACATTATGCAACGTACTTCATTGATGTGTACGTATGCATGTATATGTATTGGGTACACGTATATACATATACATAGACATATACATATATATGTATGTATGTATGTATGTATGTATGTATGTATGTATGTATGTATGTATGTATATACAAATCGAGCCACGCGTGCGCTTGGCGCGCTTAGAGTCTAATTACGGCTGCACCACGTTTTGCTGCTCTCGTTTCCGCTCGTGTGATCATCGGCGACGACGACGACGACGGCAGGGGCGGCGACGAGTAACGACGGAAACGGGCGGGCGCGGTGCGAGCCACGGGGTGCGCGAGGGGGCGTGACCCAGACCTCCGGCGACGCGATCTTTTCAGCAAGCGGCTTCCTCTTTGTCTTCGATTTTTCGTCGGCTGTCGTCGGGGATGGGGGTTCGATCACATTTTTCGTCGTTTTCGGCTCCGCTGGGGCCGCTTTGTGGGTCTGGAACCATCCAAAACTGACCCAGGACGGCGAAGCACTCTCTGGGGGAGAGGTCCAGGGTCGCGGGTTGAAAGAATCATGTGGGCGCATGTCTGGGGACCAGCAGGATGGGAGAGACCCAGACCCACGACGTCGTGATTGTTTCACAACGGAAGTACCCGAAGGTGTGGACACCTCCCCGGGGACCGCTGTTCGTCCCGAGTCGCCTTTGACGGTCCTGGGGCCCGTTGAGGGCCCCCGGGAAGCCGAAGACGGCCGAGAACCTCTCGTCGTGTTTTTCTCACGACGGGAAAAGTCTGGGGGGAG